TGGGTCCCAGTCTCTGAAGCTACCCTGTCCTCCTTGCCCAGTCTCCAAAGCTACCCTACGGGAGGCAGATAGGATCCAGAGAATTCCACAGGGATTTGAAGACCAGGGTTTCTTTTCACTGCTGAGTCAGATGAGCACACCTTTCCTCCATTCACAAGGGTCTTTGTGGAGAAGAGATGAGAGCAGGGGGAAGCTTGAACTATGATCCCAAAGAGACTGAGGGGCATTCTGGGCTCATGACCTTCAGTTTTAAAACTGGAAACTCCTGGCTAACCAAGATCATTGACACCTAGCCTGAAGAGATGACGGTTTACGTCATTAAAGTGAACTAGGGTTGAAATTAAGTAGGAGATGACGGTTTACGTCATTAAAGTGAACTAGGGTTTAAATTAAGTAGCACTACACACACACACACACACACACACACACACACACACCCCTCACCTCAGAGAGATCCCATTAGTACAGAGAAATGCCCGCTGCATTCCCTTTGCTCACACAGTTGCAGTGCCAGTAAGTCTCCAATCCTACTTGATCATTTTTTCTAAAAACTTTTGCCCAGATTCCATAGCTTCATGCTCCGACCAGCCCTGTCATATTGACAGGAGAGCTGATGGGGACCATATAAAAGATGAGGCTAAGAGGCTGGCCAAAAAGCACATGACTAATGAGTGTATTGCAAGACCAGCCTTGGAACCAGATTTTTTTAACCCCCGGTGTTCTGCATATGACTATTCTTCTGAATCTAAGGATTTACTACCTATACTTATCTTTTTTTTCTTAATTTCACTAGTAAATTAAATGCTAAGTACTCATCAGTGTCCATTACTATTCACTGAGTGTCCCTGGGCTGCATGGTCATGTTAAAACCACAGGCAGGCATGGTCACAGCTGAACAACAGCCGCCTGCGCTGGGTCTCACCTATCCTTCTTTTGTGGATGACAATAGAAAAAAGCCAGAACAAAGAGCAGGTTGGGCCAGAGCACTAGCTCTGTATGATGCTTCCCCCTTGTGGCCAACTTGCCGCTTTGGACAGGAAGTAAAGAATTCTCAAAGGTCTTCCTTGCTTAGGGACGACCCATCTACTCAGGTAAAAAGCCTGGGCCTGGGTCTGAATGGACTCCCCCAGACCCCTGGCCAAAGATTTCACATGAAATCCTTACCTTGTGGGTAAGTGAGGTGGAGGTTTGCCCTCAAGAAATCTGGGTGTCCAAAGATTAAAGACGACAAAATGAATCTTTGACTTCTAAATTGCAGCTGGGAACGTTATCATTGTTCATGGGCTCTCTAAGACGCTGCAGTGCCTGGCTGCCAACAAATGCTCGGTCTTGAGGATGCCGGTAGGTTGTAAGCAATAGCTGATGTCAAAGGATGGCTGGTGGGGAGGAGAGTTAGGTGGTAGTTAACCACCCCATCATCTTATCAGAGCTGCTCTGAAGCCCTCCTTGGTGTTCTTATTCTTTCATTGTATACAGTCCTTCAATTTTATATAAACTTGAATCAAAGCACTTTTAGAAATTGCTTTTGTTATTTATCTTGGCAAGCAAAGAGAGCTTTAAGAGTAGTCCCCTCGGACCCTCTGCCAGCTCCCTTGCCATCTCTAAGTCCCTCTTGTTCATTATCCTAAGGCCATCACAGGCTACAAGCTCATAAGGACCACAACCTCATTCATCTGTGTTGACCCAATTTAGGAGCCATGGGGATGGTGAACAGGGGGCAGGTTTCACTTGGAGCCTTGATTGACCCAGGTTTCAACAAGAGCAGAACCAGACTAAGGTGGCAGAGAGTCTGAGGGTAGAAAAATGGGCAGAAAAAAAAATGGTGGAGGGAGAGGCAGAGGAACTGGCAGCAGACAAATTCCTGGATTGCATTTCCACAATGAGAAGCTCCAAGAAGGCAGCATTATGCTAACTATTGGGTTAAAAATATTTCAACTGAACTTGTCTCACATGGGGTTTATATTTGTTGGTCCAGTGTAAGGCTAGGATGGGGGTGCAGAGGAGAGTTAGAGTTGAGATGGCAAAAACATTCTTATTTGTGTCCTTGATAGAAAACTCACTTTCCACTCTTCTCATTTTTTTCAAGACAAGGTCAGATGTCTCTTGAGCATACATTTGAAATGCCCTATCTTTTTACTTACAGCCTTGATCAAAACTCTTATGAAGTAACTTTTGGGGTAGTTATTTTACTAAGTCTTTCCCTACCATTGAACCACAAATGAAGACATGGATGTGAACAAATCTTTTAAGTTAATGGTAAATGAATCAAGGATTGAGTATATGAATATGCGCTGAGCTCTGTGCCAGGCAGAGAGGATACAGAAAGGAAAAAGACAGAGGGGGGCTTCCTTCAAGGACTTACAAATGAACAAATAATTCAAAGGATGATGAACACTTCAAAGGACAAATACAGTGAGCTATGGGCACCGACAGGAATCTGGCATGGTTTGTATGGGATGCATGGAACTGATACCTCAAAGGATGCATGGAGAGTTACTCAATGAAGAGATGGGATCCAAGGAAAGAGCAGTCCTGGCAGCAACAACTGCATGTGCCAAGGCCTGAAATGAAAAAGAACTTGGTGCATTAGCGAGACCACTGTGCCTGGGCCAGAGTGAAAGGAAGAGCGATCACTTGGGGCATTTTAGTCCTTGTTATGGAGCTGGACTTTTCTCTAAGGGCAGTAAGAAGCCATTGGTTAGTAGAAAGCTATGGAGTGCCCTAATCTGGTTTTTATTTTTTAAAATAATCATTTCTCTGGCTGCTGTGTGAAGCATATGTTGGAAGGAGGTAAAAATGGAGAAAGCTGTCTAGGTGAGAGGTGATACAAAGAGCCAGGAGAAGGAGTCAGGGATGACACCCAGGTCTGGGGCTTAAGCAGCTGGAGCGTGGACACTAGAGGAGGAGTGGGTCTCTGGGCTTATGTGGGGGGGGGGTCTTGAATTTGATGTCCTATGTATCCTCCACGAGGAGCTATCAACTCAGTAATTGGCTCTGTGAGTCTGGAGCCCAGGAGAGAGGACAGCACTGGCCATAGAGAGCATATAGATGGTAAATGAAGCTAGATGCGTTCAAGATAAGAGAGGCAGAGGGACTCCACCTTGCAACCACTGAGTAGATGGGCATTCGGGGACTGTAAGAAGACAATGCAGCAACTCTCTGTGTGGCAGCTCCTCTTGCATTTTGTTTTTTAATCTCTGTATTCTCCTGGACATCGGACAATTGAATTCTCATATATGGTAGAAGCATCCTCTCTTCTGCCTTAACGACAGACTCCTATATTGTTAAGAGTCTCAGCGTGTCCAGCTAAAAAAAACTCTATTTCCCAGCATTCTTTGTAAATAGGAATGCTAATGGGATACAAATGGAAGTTGTTGACTGAGACATTTAAAAAAAAAAAAACACCTCCTAAAGGGGCTGACTCGGCAAGGCATCATGTACCCTTTTGCTTTTCTTTCCTTTTGAATTTCAAAAGACAACTTTATCCAGATAGGAACCTCTCAAACAACACAAGAAAAATTAGGCGGCAATTATTAAAATACACTCTTAGCCAGATGACATCAGAATGACATCAACAGGGAGCACACGGGCACAGGGCCTCCGCCAGCCACCCCACTCTTCCCAAATTCACCCACGCCCAGGTCCTCCCCGTCATCCATGACCCAACTGTCTTACGTGGGGTCACAGCCACCTCAAGCGCCACGAATAGGATGGGCCTGCGCCCCAAGACGGGGTCCAGCAGGAGGAGTCACTTGGGCAGGCAGCTACCGTAGGGAGGCCAGCCGTGCCCAGTGAAAAAGGCAGCTGGCAGGTGAACCTGTTGGGGCAGGTACTCAGAAGCTACACAGATCCCATTCTCTGGCCCAAGTGAGATTTGGGGCTGCTGGCACTTCCTGCTGGATGAGTGGGGCCTTCAGGCTGGGCAAGAACCAGCACGCTCAAGGAAGGACCCCCAGGTGAGACCATACTGGTTGACACCACCTCAGCAAAGAGATTTGGGGCTGCTGGCACTTCCTGCTGGGTGAGTGGGGCCTTCAGGCTGGGCAAGAATCAGCACGCTCAAGGAAGGACCCCAGGTGAGACCACACTGGTTGACACCACCCCAGCAAGGGCACCTTGTCTGCAGGTGGCACGCAGAGCAAGGAGGCAGTGTGGACAGGGCAGCACGACCCAGGACCGGGCAGGCGCGGGGCCAGGACCTACTGGGCCATCGCCTGGGCTGCTGTGCGGCCTGGTTTCCTGTTGCTGAGGGTCAGGAGGGTTGGGAGGGCTAAGGGTCAGGATGGATGGGGGGCTGCCACACTCAGAAAAGTGGGGTGCTGGTCCTTGGTTGGCTGGCACCTGCTCTTGATGCCCAATAACAGTGGCCACAGGAAGGCCACTTGCTAAGACACACAGGCCCAGGTGGTTGCCAAAACAGTTTTGCTGCCAGAGGCACCTGCCTGGGATCCAGGTTCAAGGCCAAACTGCAGGTCAAGCAGGTGCCCTGCCCCCTCCAACACCTCCAAGGCATCTTAGTGGAAGTCAGTATCAGCAGAAATGCAAAGAGATTCTTGTGAATCTCAGGGGCTGTCTCCTCATGGCCCTGCTTGCCCCCTACCCCCATGACCCTGGGCAGCTTTCCCAGGAGAATCCAGGGTGCGCTCTGCCACCCCTAGCCCTGTAGATTGAGAACCCCCTCACAGAAGCGTTAACACAGTTAATGTACGAGTAAAACCCAAAGGCTGCTGAGGACCAACACAGAGCTGGCTCTAACCTGGGGTGTCTCAGGTTAGACAAGAGCCGATTGGCATCTGTAGGAGTCATGGAGTGTCTACCGCTTCATTTGGCCCAAAAATATCTCTGAGGGCCTCAAATTATCTTTTCAAAAATGACCAGAAACATGCATTTGAACATTCCCCACCCCAGGTCCCTTCCGCTGCCTCGGTGCTTCCAGGAGCTATGGTGAACGGTGACCGTGCTCTGGTCTTGCCGTGGCCCAGGCGTCTCTGGAAGCCACGGTTCTGATGGAATGACTGGGAATGCAGCAAGGGGGCCTCTGCAGACTACGGTCACATGACTGCACAGCACGAATTTTGCTTCCGGGCTGTTTTGTAGAAGGCTTTAGAGCAGTGGTTCTCAACCTTCTGGCCCTTTAAATACAGTTCCTCATGTTGTGACCCAACCATAAAATTATTTTCATTGCTACTTCACAACTGTAATGTTGCTACTGTTATGAATCGTAATGTAAATATCTGATGTGCAGGATGGTCTTAGGCGACCCCTGTGAAAGGGTCGTTCGACCGCCAAGGGGTCGCGACCCACAGGTTGAGAACCGCTGCTTTAGAGTGAATTCCCAGCACTTCGGATTTGGACACCAAGTCGTCTATCTTCTCGCCTCGTCCTAACAGGAACTCCATGGTGTTGTGCAGAACGATCTTGGTCTCATCAAGGTCAGCCTGCACTTTACTCACGGGGTCAGCTTCTCGGGGATTCTGGTAGGTACTAAGGAAGTCATCCAGGGCTATGTAGTGGATGGTAGCAGGGGATCTGACTGGCCAGTCGATCCCGTCCACCTGCTTGGAGGAATAGTCCAGCACCTTCTCCAGCCAGGTAAAAGCCACCCGGGACGGGTTCTCGCTGTCAGCAATGACCACTCCTGCAAGACTGTGGTTCTGCACGTAGACGTGGCCCAGATATTCTTGTTCCTTGACGGAAGCCCTGCTGCCTTTGGCAGAGAGCTCCACGATCAGCTGGCTGGTGAAGGTCATGAATTCCTGAACACTGGTCCTCTGGAAGAAGCTGAGGGATGACACGTTGTAGGCAGCCCTGAGCAGCACCGCCTTGGGGTCACCTTTGTAGAGGATGCTCAGGCTGAACAGCGTCATGGCACCACCCAGGCCGCCCACCTTCCCGCCCGCTGACCGGCAAGCAGTGTGGCCACTGCCCCTGAAGACCTCCAGCTGCTGATGGTCCGACACCGCCTGCTTTTCTATCTTTTTTTATTTTCTCCTTGGAACTTGGGCCTGACAGCTTGGGCTCCAGAGGCCATCTTAGACCACAAGGTAATCTTGAACATAGAAACAAGATAGTTTCTGGGTCTCTGTTGATTGTGGAGCTACTGCCCAGGTAACTTGTCGGCTTCTTTAAAGTGAAATAAAAATGAACCTCAATATTATGTAAGCTACTGGTATTTGGATTTTGTGGTTTATGCTGTCAAACTTAATCTAACTGATAGATCATTTGTGTGATAATCAGACATGACAGTGAATCCATGAAAGAGACTGTAGGGGTGCACAGAATGGAGAAAGCAAGTTAGGCTGATGCATAAAGGAGCAAAATATTCTTTCATATCAGGGAAAATGTCCTTGTTTCTTGCAATGTCTTGAACTAGCAGTGCAACAGCCAAAGTACATCATCTCGAATGCCTCCCCTTGGGAATCTATTAGCAATTGAGCATCTTTGAATCACAAGGGAACGTTAATCTCATGTACAAAAATAGTGCTCATTGTGATTAAGATCTAACAACTGTAATTGAATAATTACAAAGTTTAAAATAGTTCAGGCAATTGAGAAAGCACAAGTGTCTCAGCTACATGAGGTGCACAAAGTTCCCAGAAAAATAATTAAATCCTATATAATAAAAGCCTAATATGCTAAGTGACCCATCATCTGGTCGTCCGTTCAACTAATCCAGTGGTCGGCAAACTGAAACTCGGCAAACCGAGGCTCGCGAGCCACATGCGGCTCTTTGGCCCCTTGAATGTGGCTCTTCCACAAAATACCAACTTCTGCGCATGGGCCACGAAGTTTCAATCGCACTGTACGTGCACGCCCGCATGTGGTATTTTGTGGAAGAGCCACACTCAAGGGGCCAAAGAGCCGCACGTGGCTCACGAGCCACGATTTGCCGACCACGGAACTAATCAAAGCATAATATGCTAATGATATGCTAAGGGTGCTCAATCACTCGCTATAATGTGCACTGACCACTAGGGGGCAGACAGTCAACCAGTCGACCAGTTGCTATGATGTGCACTGACCACCAAGAGGCAGACACTCAGACCGGTAGGTTAGCTTGCTGCTGGGGTCCAGCCAATCAGGACTGAGTGAGATGGGCTGGACACGCCCTGAAGCCCTCCTCCTGTCCCTTCCTGGCTAGCTAACCTCCTGCATCCCTCCCCGGCCCCAGTCGTGCACCGGTGGGGTCCCTTGGCCTGGCCTGCTCCCTCTCGCAATCTGGGGCCCCCAGGGGATGTCAGAGAGCTGGTTTCAGCCCAATCCTGCAGGCCAGGCCGAGGGACCCCAATGGTGCATGAATTCATGCACTGGGCCTCTAGTATATATATATAAACCTCATGTTATTCTCAGCTGCCACTAATTCTAGAATTCTGTCTCCAGGTTGCCCGACTAAGGGCATAAATGAAGGCTGAGACCCAGCCCGAGTTTAGCTCCCGAACACTACACCAAATCAGGCAAGTCAGCTTGGAAGCAGTGGCATGTTTTGCAATGTGTTCACCTATGAGAGGCATCCTTTAGCACTTGACACAGAGATGCTTGATCTGCTAGCTGGTTCCCTGGTGGGGCCCACCTTATTCCTTTCCTTTGAAAACCATATTGATTTAGATTGCGTTCAAGAAGTTGAGGAATAAGAAAGCATATTCGGAGTCCCTCCAAACAGCAGAGAAGACAGATGAAGCACTTTGAGGGACTGGTATACAGAAAATTATTACAAGCCGACAAATGTGGGTAACCCACAGCAGAGCCATAGCCACTAAGTAACTATAACCCCAAATGGAAGAAAACACCTTACTTCCTACCAAAACTAAGAAAATGATGTGGTCAAAAGGAGAAATGTTAAGAAGTTTCTTTAGTCACTAAAGTTTAGTGCTTCTGTTGCTCTCTAGCAACCCCTTGTGGTACTTGAAACAGTCTGCAGTCTGGTGCTGCTATTCCAGTCCCGCTCTTGGTTGCAACAGATTTGAACTAGAAGAAACTGATACCTTGAATCTATTAGAAACCCTGTGCTAAGCACAAGGATCTTATAGACCTTGCAAAAAATTTTTTTACCAAAATAAATATAGCAATGAGTTCATTTCCTGCACACCAGTAAAACTCAATTCTTTAAGACAACCAATTTGGTTAAAATATGTATATTTCTCCCTCTCTCTCTCCATTCATCCATCATTTAATAAGATTCTGCTATGTTCCAGCCCTATGATTGTGGCTCAGGTAAATAGATGGACATAGTATCATAGTTTTGTAGGACAGACAACTAGGAGACAGGCAAGGGTCGATTCATGAAAGATCTTTATATTCTGTTGAAAAATTTGAAGGAGATAGGGAGGCATGAGACATGTAAGCAAGGAAGTGGTGTAATCAAATCTGTCATTTACAAAAAGTGATTCCGGAAACAGGGTGAAGGTGGGTTGGGTGTGGGCATATGGCAGAACGATGGATTAGGAGACTGAGAATTCAAGTTAAGACAGACTGACCCAAGGCAAGTAGGCATAAAAGAAAAAGAGTGCAAACTGAAGAGAAATTTGGGAGTAGATTTGAAAGACATAATACATGGGTCACGTTTTTGCCTAAAGCAGCCAGGTGGCTGGTAGTGTCGATAGCTGGCGTGGCAAACATAGAAGGCTTGGAGTAAGGTGAGGGGTGTGGGGACTGGAAGAGGGAGGATTTGATTAGAAATTTAAATGGTTTTGTGGAAAGAGCTTTTCATCTGGAGTCAGGCCTCTGCCCTGATGCCACTTTGTTCTGACTGAATTTTATTAGTCTATATTCGTCTATTTGTATTCATTAATCACAGGGTCCAACTAATGCCCAAAGTTGTTTGCATCTTCCCTGCAATCAGCTTTCTCGGGTGTGCAAAAATCATATTACAAACTCCCCATGTGACCCTGAATGCCATGGTGTGCCCCCCTCTTCTCAGGAAATGTAAGTAACAAAAATCTTCTTTCATTGGCGTTAACCTCTTCATGTTGTCACTCAGTCACCTTTATAAATTAAGAGCACCAGTCATACCTCCTCCTTATAATTCTGAACATGTTACTGCTTTATGTTGCTCATCTAAAGTATAAGAATAATAATAAGAAAAAAGAATAATAATAAGAGTTACTTCATGTGATTGTATGAGGCTTTGCACATTATAAGCATGTTTGTTATTAGCCCTGAAGAATGTAATCTGCCAACAAAATCAACTTCTAATTTTTTTCTGACAATATGGTCAATGAATCATATACATTGAGCATCATCCCTGTTCATAGTGCAGGTAAATACATGTGATCTGACCAAAGCAAGAGATAGAGAGCTACAAGGAGCTGGGTTGGTTGGTCTTACCTAATGCAATATCCTATTTTAAATATTCTGCATTTGAAAAAGAAAAATCAGCAAAAAGGACTCTCCTACAGTATTTAAAAACAACCTGGAGTTATGATCATTCTAGCCAGAGCTTTTCAGGAGTTCAACTAAACAAAGCTTGATCATTAAGTTTTTTTGTGGTTTTATTTGTGTGTTTTTTTTTGTTTTTGTTAGTCCTAATCCGAGGATATTTTCCCATGATTTTTAGAGAGAGTGGGAAGGAGGGAGTGAGACAGAGAAACATTGATTGGTTGCCTCTTGCAAGCATCCTGACCAGGGCTAGGGATCAAGCCACAATCAGTACATGCCCTTGACCGGAATCGAGTCTGAGACCCTTCGGTCCATGGGCTGATGCTCTATCCACTGAGCCAAACTGGCTAGGGCTTGACCATTAAGTTAAGTCCAGTTGCTAGTTTATAAAAATTTCCCACCAGATTCATGCTTATTGTTCTAAACACAATGATTTGGCAATAAAAATGGAATAAATGATGTTTTGGGTAGGAAAAGAAGACAATCTGGAGTGGGAGGGGATAGAAGACAAATGGATTGTTCCAGCAGCAAAATGGTATTATTGTTATTCCAAGAAATAACAGTTTCCACAGAGAGCCCTCCCTAGATTCAAGATGCGAACAAGAAAAGGCTTGTCCAAAGCCAGTCAGAGTGTCAGAACCAAGATGGTGACTCTGTTTAAAGGAACTCATGTAGAAAGATCCTAGATTTCCTGGAGCTTTTAATGCTAACTTCACTTGGTTCAGAGTAAGAGCAGGTGACAGCAGGACCACGATCAGGGTGAGGCAAGTGAGGTGCCTAGGGTATAAAATTTAAGGTGACATTCAGAATTCTCAACTCTATGCATATTCCCTGGTCCCCACCTTACAGTACAGCTACAGGGATAAAGAATGGGTCGTTACCAAGTGGTCACAGAGGTGTAAACTACAGCACAGGGAATACAGTCAGTAATATCGTCATAACGATGTATGGGGCCAGGTGGGTACTTGAAATATCGAGGGGAGCACTCTGTAAAGTACATGATTGTCTAACCTCTATGCTGTACACCTCAAACTAATACAGAATAATATTGAACGTAAACTGTAATTGAAAAATAAATACAAATTTAAAATAAAACGTCATGGCAATGATTAAAAAATGAAAAAAAAAACATTTCCATTCTAGCATCATTAACATAGAGAAGCGCTGTCAAGTGGCTCGCCCTCAGCTGCAGCATAATCATAATGCAGACTATTGTGAGCTGTTCTCCGCGCTGAAGCGTGCCTCTATGGATGGACTGGGTTCTTTGCCAAGTAGCCTCCATCAAAACCTAACCAGAGTTCTGAATTTGAAGAGGAATTGAGACTAAACAACGTTTGCTTATTCATACCAGAAGTGGAACAAATGCTCACTCTTAGTGAGGTAAAAGTATTTCTGAGAAGTTCACCTCAAGTTCGACAAATACACACGTGTATTTCATACAAAAATAGCCACCACACAAGACCACCCATGTTCTTAATTCCAATAGTGCTCAGGATCAGAAATTTCTTTTCCTCTGGCTCTTCTTCCCTTTGCCTCACGCCAGACTTGG